TCTTCTATACAGTGCAGATTTTTTTTCTGCAAATGCAGTTGAATAGCATATGGAAAAAATCTTCAAAGGAGATACTATTCAATTTCTGATACACATTTTCAATCACATTCACAAAAGCCACAATATATAGATGAGCTTTATTTGCACTATATATAGCCTCTCCTCACTTAGCAACGTACTCGTTTCCCGATGACTCGGACTTACGATGGGTTCTCTGACCAGTATTCATACCTAAATAATGTATATTAGAGCTGATTTCCTCTATTCTGTTTATTACAATATACAGTACACTACTGTATAAACATTTAAAAATATACCAGAAATGTTATAAATGGCACAAAGGTGACATTAAAACAATATTAAAGATGCACAAATAACCTGCACATAAAAGAGAGAAGCTTACGACGACGTTTCGGTCCGACTTGGACCATTGACAATGTCAATGTGACTTTGTCAATGGTCCAAGTCGGACCGAAACGTCGTTGTAAGCTTCTCTCTTTTATGTGCGGGTTATTTGTGTATCGTTCCAGTCACGGTATTGTGCCTTTTTTTTTTGTTAATATCAAAGATGGTTGACACAAACCCACTACCATTATAGTTTGCTCCTCACTTAGCCATGTACACCTCCCATCCAACTTACGGCCTGCTCGACTTACGACCTGCTCGACTTACGACCTGCTCGACTTACGACCTGCTCGACTTACGACCTGCTCGACTTACGACCTGCTCGACTTACGACCGTGTTTTTTATGCCAAATTTCTGGGAAATAAACAACTATTTGTGTTGTACACAGTGTTTATCCTAAACCTTACAGTATAAAATACAGTACTAACAACATAAAAAGTAAAGTAAAACATGAAATACCAAAATAAAACAAAATAAAGTCATTACAAAAATGTTTTGTTGATATTCAGTAGTAAAGTTCGACTTACGACCATTTCGACTTACGACCGGTTTCTCGGAACCGAACTCGGTCGTAAGTCGGATGGTAGGTGTAATTGGAAGATAAATAATAGAATGTACTAGAGTAGTCTGAGACAATACAATGTAGTATAGCAATAGTGTTGTAAGTGTAGTCTGAGACAAAACACAAAATAATATTTAAATGTCATAATTATAAATCAAATTGCTAATACCAGTTACCATCAAAGACAGTAAACTTCAGCATTTATGTAAATCAACTTATTTTATAGATGTCCGTAGATATAAGTTACTGTACTTTGAAGGCTGCCGGAAATGCTTTGCATAATGAGTTTTCTAGTATGCTAATAAACCCCATTTCAAGCCTATATGTAACCACCTTTTAGAAGGATGATTTAACCCGTAAACGGTCCAAACGTATATACAGTGGACCCCCGCATAACGATCACCTCCGAATTCGACCAATTATGTAAGTGTATTTATGTAAGTGCGTTTGTACGTGTATGTTTGGGGGTCTGAAATGGACTAATCTACTTCACAATATTCCTTATGGGAACAAATTCGGCCAGTACTGGCACCTGAACATACTTCTGGAATGAAAAAATATCGTTAACCGGGGGTCCACTGTATACGTTTTTCAACATTTGAAAGTATGTAAAAAAAGTAGATATTCTTTTTGCTTTTTTACATTCGAAAATGTGTAAAAAGACTTCGATCTTTTTTTTTTTGTTATATTTGAAAATATGTAAAAAAAACGTAGATCTACTTTGGTAGCACAACACATGTGAACGGAGATCTGCTTGGGCCATTTACGGGTTAAACAAAAATGTCTGATATACCCTGAGTCTTCTTACGCCAAGACTGTCCAATCCTTTATAAAGATGAGCATTTTTGCACTCCTAAATGCTCCAGTATGTTAACTTTGTTCAAATATAAAACAGGAGGAATTGTAACCAGTAACTGCATAACTTGGAGCATACAGAGTAGGTCTCCAGATTATAAATAACCAAAACTACACAAATCCTCACTGACAATGCACTAAGTCAGAAATTAATATTTTTCAAGCAATGCACAGTAGGAAAATGTGAAAGTCATCCTTTGTAATAGTCAACTCTCTTTTAAGGCTACTTTGTATAGTACAATTCTTTACCAATACAACACAATAAGTGTACCTAAAACTGTATCACAATGAAATAGTAAGTCGTACCTTCAAAATTTGTACCATTGTTCATTAACTACTTTTCTTATTGTATGTATAATTGCAATTAAACACTTTCATTATTCTTTTTAGGTCACCCTGCCTCGGTTCATTGAAAAAAAAAACAGTGATTAACAGTATAAGAAATACTACTTAATAGTCTAATTCTTAAGTAGTTATTCGTTATTAGAATTAGTTTTTATAGTCTTTGTCTAATTCATAAGTAGTCTTAAGTAGTGTTTAGTACCTAACATTGTGTTAGTACATGTAAACATTATCTTTGTATAGAATAAGACAAACAAAACTGAAACAGTAAATACAGTGGACTCCCGCTTTACGATCAGCTCCCAATGCGACCAATTATGTAAGTGTATTTATGTAAGTGCGTTTGTACGTGTATGTTTGGGGGTCAGAAATGAACTAATCTAATTCACAGTATTCCTTATGGGAACAAATTCGTTCAGTAATGGCACCTGAACATACTTCTGGAATGAAATAATGTCGTAAACCGAGGGTCCACTGTACTATGGCTATTACATGGTATTAAATTTTCAATATACTTTTTCAACAGGAATAATGAAAAACTGTTCTATAAAGGGGGAGGTTTATAAAGGAGGTTACTAGCAAGTAATATATCAGTGGTGTACAATATTGACCAGGTGATGAATTAGACGTAAGAGATTCATCAACACTTCAGTGATGATGAATGGTTTGAAAAACCGACAAGTTGAAGATTGAGACACTTATGCAGCATATGGGAATCTTTATTCAGGAAACGTTTCGCCACACAGTGGCTTCTTCAGTCCAATACAAAGAGGAAGGCGTAAGGAGAGGAGGAGAATGAGGTAATCAGTCCCTCAACCTGGAGTCGATGGACTGAACACATCGACTCCAGGTTGAGGGACTGATTACCTCATTCTCCTCCTCTCCTTACGCCTTCCTCTTTGTATTGGACTGATGAAGCCACTGTGTGGCGAAACGTTTCCTGAATAAAGATTCCCATATGCTGCATAAGTGTCTCAATCTTCAACACTTCAGTGATCATCACCTGCTTCTTAATTGAAGGACTGATAACCTCGCCTTCTACTGTCTTCTCTATACAATTGTACAAGACTAAGGAAGACATCCCAATTTTGCACATACGTAATTCACCGCTCTCATGATGTAACTTACTTGCTATGTAAAGCAAGCAATGCATTTAACCCGTAAACGGTCCAAACGTATATATACGTTTTTTCAACATTTGAAAGTATGTAAAAAAAGTAAGATTTTTTTTTTTTTTTTTACATTTGAAAATGTGTAAAAAAACTTTCATCTACTTTTTTTTTGTTATACAGTGGACCCCCGCATAGCGAACGCCTTGCATAGCGAACATTCCGCATAGCGAACGCTTTGATCGCTAAAATTTTGCCCGCATAGTAGCAAAAACCCGCTCAGCGAACTTCGTCCGAGACGCGTCCAATGTGCGGCCTCAGCCAGCCTCACTGTTTCCGCCTGTCCCATTGTTTACCAGCTAGCCTCCGCGGTAACATTCAAGCATACACTCGGAATATTTCGTATTATTACAGTGTTTTCGGTTCTGTTTGTTGAAAATAAGTGACCATGGGCCCCAAGAAAGCTTCTAGTGCCAACCCTGTGGTAAAAAGGTGAGAATTAGTATGGAAATTAAGAAAGATTTTGAAGGTTTGGGGCTAACCCTGAGAAGCCTATGCCAGTGTGGAATCCATTGTGCTACTTCAAAAATTAAGGAAATGGGCACATGGTTGAACTGCAAAACCTTATGATGAAAATCACCTTGACACAGCTGTTGCAAGGCGTGCTGGTGAATTTCAATGGGCAATGGGTATGGCCCATTTTAGACAAATCGTAAAGGGAAAGGGGGTACAGAGCTCTATGACCAAAGAAGTCCAGTGACTCTGAAGCTGGTCCTGTGGCATTAAAAGAAGAAGGAAGTAACCCCGAAAAGGATTGCCCTCCTCAAGTGTTAATGGAAGGGAGTCCCCTTCTAAACTTACACTCTCTCACCCTCCTACACCATCCCATCAATTCAACCAGATTTCATAAAAGTAAGTGTATGTAATTGGCATGCCTTTTTCGTTTGTGTGTACTAAAATTAACATTTTTATTGTGGTAAAAAAATTTATTTCATACTTTTGGGTGTCTTGCACGGATTAATTTTATTTCCATTATTTCTTTTGGGGAAATTAAATTCGCATAGCGAACATTTCGCATAACGACCAGCCTCTTGCACGGATTAAGTTCGCTATGCAGGGTCCACTGTATTTTTAAAATTGAAAAACGTTTGAACTACTTTTGTAGCACCACACATGTGAACGTAGATCTGCTTGGACTGTTTACGGGTTAAATTACAGTGGACCCCCGCTTGACGATCACCTCCGAATGCAACCAATTATGTAAGTGTATTTATGTAAGTGCGTTTGTACGTGTATGTTTGGGGGTCTGAAATGGACTAATCTACTTCACAATATTCCTTATGGGAACAAATTCAGTCAGTACTGGCACCTGAACATACTTCTGGAGTGAAAAAATATCGTTAACCGGGGGTCCACTGTACTTGCTAAGTAAAGCAAGCAATGCATTTAAATTACTTGCTAAGCAAAGCAAGTAATATGTTGCAATTACTTACTAAGCAAAGGAAGCAATACACCTCAAGAAGAACAAAAGCGCACAATACCATGGCTGGAACAGTACGTAAATGACCTACACATAGAGAAAAGCTAATGACAATGTTTTGGTTCGATTTGGGACATTTACAAAGTCACACTGTGTGACTCTGTAAATGGTTCTAGTGAGACGAAACACTGTTATAAGCTCCTCTCTCCTATGCAGGTTATTTGTGTGATACAGTTGGAGGGTTACCTTAGGCAGGAGTTGTGAAGTTCTTGGGGCAGGCAGAGCTTCATGGGACGAGTCAAGATCTATGAGTTTAGCTGTGGGTACCTGCCCACTGCCCAACCCAATTCCCAAACTACTTAAACTCTTTGCTGAAAATAAGAACTGACATTAGAAATGGACCATCATTCTATTTAGTTATTTACCCAAACATGAATAAATTGTATACGAGTGAAAGAGAAAAATAAGTATTTATATTGTATGGATTTAAAATGGTAAAACAAACAGTTCCAGTGTGTGGAACTGAAAATAGAGACATTAACAACATTTACATTACAGTACAGTACATGGCTTAAAAAAATTTCTTCCTATTTTATCTTAAAAAATAAGGCTTATCTGGAGAGTACATAATATAGAATAAAAAAAAATCTTTATTTTTTTATTTATCACACTGGCACGATTCCCACCAAGACAGGGTGGCCCGAAAAAGAAAAACTTCACATCATTAACCCATCACTGTCTTGCCAAAGGTGCTTTACACTACAGTTTTTAAACTGCACATTACCACCCCTCCTTCAGAGTGCAGGCACTGTACTTCCCATCTCCAGGACTCAAGTCCGGCCTGCCGGTTTCCCTGAACCCTTCATAAATGTTACTTGCTCACACTCCAACAGCACGTCAAGTATTAAAAACCTTCGTCTCCATTCACTCCTATCAAACACGCTCAAAGCACGCCTGCTGAAGTCCAAGCCCCTCCCTCACACAAAACTCTTTACCCCCCTCCAACCTTTCTAGCGCACCCCTACCCCGCCTTCCTTCCACTACAGAACTGATACCTCTTGAAGTCATTCTGTTCGCTCCATTCTCTCTACATGTCCGAACCACCTCAAACAACCCTTCCTCAGCCTTGGACATTTTTGGTATCCCGCACTCCTCCTAACTTCGAAACTACGAATTCTCTGCATTATATTCACCACACACATTGCCTCAGACATGGGCTCTCCACTGCCTCCAGCCTTTCTCCTCACTGCAACATTCATCACCATGCTTCACACCCATTAAGAGTGTTGGTAAAACAATACTCTCATACATTCCCCTCTTTGCCTCAAGGACATAGTTCTTTGTCTCCACAGACTCCTAAGTGCACAACTCGCCCTTTTCCCCCCATCAATTCTATGATTCAACTCTTCCTTCATAGACCCATCCACTGACACGTCCACTCCCAAATATTTGAATACATTCACTTCCTCCATACTCTCTCCCTCCAATCTGATATCCAATCTTTCATCACCTAATATTTTTGTTATCCTCATAACCTTACTCTTTCCTGTATTCACTTTTAATTTTCTTCTTTTGCACACCCTACCAAATTCATCCACCAATCTCTGCAACTTCTCTTCAGAATCTCCTAAGAGCACAGTGTCATCAGCAAAGAGCAACTGTGACAACTCCCACTTTATGTGTGATTCTTTATCTTTTAAACTCCACGCCTCTTGTCAAGACCCTCGCATTTACTTCTCTTACAACCCCATCTATAAATATATTAAACAACCACGGTGACATCACACATCCTTGTCTAAGGCCTACTTTTACTGGGAAATAATTTCCCTCTTTCCTATGTACTCTAACTTGAGCCTCACTATCCTCGTAAAAACTCTTTACTGCTTTCAGTAACCTACCTCCTACACCATACACCTGCAACATTGTCCCCCTATCCACCCTGTCATACGCCTTTTCCAAATCCATAAATGCCACAAAGACCTCTTTAGCCTTATCTAAATACTGTTCACTTATATGTTTCACTGTAAACACCTGGTCCACACACCCCCTACCTTTCCTAAAGCCTCCTTGTTCATCTGCTATCCTATTCTCAGTCTTACTTTTAATTCTTTCAATAATAACTCTACCATACACTTTACCAGGTATACTCAACAGACTTATCCCCCTATAATTTTTGCACTCTCTTTTGTCCCCTTTGCCTTTATACAAAGGAACTATGCATGCTCTCTGCCAATTCCTAGGTACCTTACCCTCTTCCATACATTTATTAAATAATTGCACCAACCACTCCAAAACTATATCCCCACCTGCTTTTAACATTTCTATCTTTATCCCATCAATCCCGGCTGCCTTACCCCCTTTCATTTTACCTACTGCCTCACAAAACTTCCCCCACACTCACAACTGGCTCTTCCTCACTCCTACAAGATTTTTATTCCTCCTTGCTCTATACACGAAATCACAGCTTCCCTATCTTCATCAACATTTAACAATTCCTCAAAATATTCCCTCCATCTTCCCAATACCTCTAACTCTCCATTTAATAACTCTCCTCTCCTATTTTTAACTGACAAATCCATTTGTTCTCTAGGCTTCCTTAACTTGTTAATCTCACTCCAAAACTTCTTCTTATTTTCAACAAAATTTGTTGATAACATCTCACCCACTCTCTCATTTGCTCTCTTTTTACATTGCTTCACCACTCTCTTAACCTCTCTTTTTGTCTCCATATACTCTTCCCTCCTTGCATCACTTCTACTTTGTAAAAACTTCTCATATGCTAACTTTTTCTCCCTTACTACTCTCTTTACATCATCATTCCACCAATCGCTCCTCTTCCTCCCGCACCCACTTTCCTGTAACCACAAACTTCTGCTGAACAGTCTAACACTACATTTTTAAACCTACCCCATACCTCTTCGACCCCATTGCCTATGCTCTCATTAGCCATCTATCCTCCAATAGCTGTTTATATCTTTCCCTAACTGCCTCCTCTTTTAGTTTATAAACCTTCACCTCTCTCTTCCCTGATGCTTCTATTCTCCTTGTATCCCATCTACCTTTTACTCTCATAAACATGTACATCCTGAAGTCTACTCAACAGTCTTTTATCTACCAATACATAATCCAACAAACTACTGTCATTTCGCCCTACATCATATCTTGTATACTTATTTATCCTCTTTTTCTTAAAATATGTATTACCTATAACTAAACCCCTTTCTATACAAAGTTCAATCAAAGGGCTCCCATTATCATTTACACCTGGCACCCCAAACTTACTACCACACCTTCTCTAAAAGTTTCTCCTACTTTAGCATTCAGGTCCCCTACCACAATTACTCTCTCACTTGGTTCAAAGGCTCCTATACATTCACTTAACATCTCCCAAAATCTCTCTCTCTCCTCTGCATTCCTCTCTTCTCCAGGTGCATACACGCTTATTATGACCCACTTCTCGCATCCAACCTTTACTTTAATCCACATAATTCTTGCATTTACACATTCATATTCTCTTTTCTCCTTCCATAACTGATCATTCAACATTACTGCTACCCCTTCCTTTGCTCTAACTCTCTCAGATACTCCAGATTTAATCCCATTTATTTCCCCCCACCGAAACTCCCCTACCCCCTTCAGCTTTGTTTCGCTTAGGGCCAGGACATCCAACTTCTTTTCATTCATAACATCAGCAATCATCTGTTTCTTGTCATCTGCACTACATCCACGCACATTCAAGCATCCCAGTTTTATAAAGTTTTTCTTCTTCTCTTTTTTAGTAAATGTCTACAGGAGAAGGGGTTACTACCCCATTGCTCCCGGCATTTTAGTCGCCTCATACAACACGCATGGCTTACGGAGGAAAGGTTCTTTTCCACTTCCCCATGGACAATAGAAGAAATAAAGAAGAACAAGAGCTATGTAGAAAAAGGAGAAAAACCTAGATATATGTATATATATATGCATGTGCATGTCTGTGAAGTGTGACCAAAGTGTAAGTTGGAGTAGCAAGATATCCCTGTTATCTAGCGTGTTTATGAGACAGAAAAAGACACCAGCAATAATAAAAAAAAAAAAAAAATTTATTAACACATTGGCCATTTCCCACCAAGGTAGGAATTCCCAAAAAAGAAAAACTTTCACCATCACTGTTTTGCCAGAGGCATGTTTACACTATAGTTATAAAACTGCCACATTAACACCCCTCCTTCAGAGTGCAGGCACTGTACTTCCCATCTCCAGGACTCAAGTCCAGCCTGCCAGTTTACCTGAATCCCTTCATAAATATTACCTTGCTCACACTCCAAAAACACATCAAGTCCTAAAACCATTTGTCTCCATTTGCTACTATCTAACACGCTCATGCATGCTTGCTGGAAGTCCAAAATTAAATATATCTTGTAATAAACATGCAGGCATCGTGAGCTTTTGATAGGAGTGAATGAGACAAATGGTTTAAAACTTGAGTGCTGTTGGAGTGTGGCAAAGTAACATTTTGAAGGGTTCAGGGAAACCGGACGGCCGGATTTGAGTCCTGGAGATGGGAATACAGTGCTGCACTTGAAGGAGGGTTTAATTTTGAGTTTAAAACTGTAGGTAAAGCACCCTCTGGCAAGACATGATGAGTGAATGATGGTGAAAGTTTTTCTTTTTGGGCCCACCCTGACTTGGTGGGAATCGGCCAGTGTGATAATAAAAAAAAAATAATAAAAAAATATATGAAAGAAGAAAGCAGTGACAGGCAAAATATCTTCATAATGTTACTAGTGAGTTTCCATAAGGGTCGGATGTAGCAGATTTATGGAATGAGTGTCTGTCCCTAGAATTAATACAGGTCAGGGCCCCTCACACAGAACTATGTCATGAGGTTAGCTGACTCAGATAAGCTGTGAGTATTAAATTTTGGCCTAGATATGAGAGACTGGGTCTTTATGGTGAGTGTGCACCATATAAAAAATCTTTCCCCATGAATTGCATGATAGGAAAAACAAAACTGTGATCTTGTTTGGTTTAAAATAACAACTCTGAAGCGTTTTCTAGGATGGTTTTATTGGATGTTTCTTGGTATTATTTGATAGAATGGGAGAAATATTTTGATTGGTTTCAAAACTGGAAGAAGCTTGACATTGGGCTCAGAGTAGCGGAAATATTCGATTTTTGTCAATGTTCTAGAAGATGGACAAGGCCCCTCAATGCCCAGTCTGTTTTATGGGGTTTTGATTCAATTATCAGGATGCTGTAAACCATGAATAATCTTTCCTGGTTATATTTTATTACTGAGAAATAGAGTAAAAATTTTATTTTTATGAGTAAGAAAGCAAGTGTAGGAAAGTGTTTAGGAGAGTTTTAGGGACGTGACTGATGAACAGAGGAAATGTTTGTGCCACGAATGTTTACACTGTTTATTATGGACTATTTTTAGAGTAGTTTAAATAGTTAAATGGGCAGTTTCATGTGCTCAGTCAACAGAATGGTAAGCATACTAGCAAAACAGCTAAGAATCTGGTCAACTGAAACAATGGAACAGACTTAAAATAGGAAAAATTACTGTGTATAAACTGCACAGAGATCGCTAACTTTGCACCTGTGTAATTCTGTAAATTTTCCATCAAATTTTGTATTTTTTATGTCGCCTTCAGAAAAAGATTCTCTACCATTTCAGTTTTTTTTTTTTTTTTTTTTAAACTTTTGGATATTGAGAGCAGGTTTTATTTAGGGGATCTGGGCAGTGAAAGGGTTAAGGAGTAGTTAAGAGTTTTTATTTGGATGGTGAGGCTCAATTAGGGTATACGAGAGGGAGATTATCTTCCAGTAAACGTAGGCCTTAGGCAGGGATGCATGACGTCACCATCTTAATAGATGGAATTACTATAAAAGAAATGTGTGCCAGGGTGTTGGGAAGAGGTGAGGGATTAAAAGATAGAGAATTTGATACAAAATGGAAGTTGTCACAGTTGCTTTTTGCTGATGACACTTCTTGTGACAAATTCTGACAAGATGTTTCAAAGGTCAGAGGAGGGTGAGAGTAACAAATGGTTAAGTCAATAAAAGATTGGATATCAATTTAGAGGGAGGAGGTATGAAGAAAATGAATGTAGCAGTATTGAGAAATTTGGCAGTGACCATGCCAGTAGCCGAGTCTATGAAAGATGAGGTAAAGCACAGCATAGACGAAGGGAAATAATGAAGCTGGGTGGTGTGATATCTGTGCAATAAAAGCTTATCTGAGGCAAAGAGGGGAATGTACCAGATTATGATGGTAGATAAACATATTTCAATGGACCTTTTTTTTAATGGACCTTCTCTTCCTCATCTATTCTATGATTCAACTCGTCATTCGTAGATTTATTTGCTGGCACTCCCAATTACAGTGGTACCCCGAGTTTCATACATGATTCATTCCAGAAGGCTGTTCGAGTGCCGTTACTGAACGAATTTGTTCCCATAAGGAATAATGTAAATTAGATTAGTCCATTTCAGACCCCCAAAAATACGCTTGCAATAATACACTTAGTTAATTGTTCAAGTTGGGAGCAGTAAGAAACTCAGGGTACCACTGTACCTAAATGCATTTGTCTCCATACTCCTCCCCCATCTGATGCCCAATCTTGTATTGCTTAAACTTCGTAATGTTGTTGGTATATTTATGGTACACTACACAAATAAACCACACACAGGAGAATGAAATTTAGGATCACGTTTCAGTCTGACTTAAACCATTAATTACAGTGGACCCCCGCATAACGATCACCTCCGAATGCGACCAATTATGTAAGTGTATTTATGTAAGTGCGTTTGTACGTGTATGTTTGGGGGTCTGAAATGGACTAATCTACTTCACAATATTCCTTACGGGAACAAATTCGGTCAGTACTGGCACCTGAACATACTTCTGGAGTGAAAAAATATCGTTAACCGGGGGTCCACTGTATTTAATGGTTCAAGTCAGACTGAAACATAGTCATATACTTTATTGTCCGATATGCAGGTTATTTGTGTATTGGTCCAGTCATGGTATTGTGACTGTATTCTCTTCAAGATCTGTGATAAACACATGGCTTCATTCTGCAAAATCACATACGAGACACTGGTCTAAATAATGTGGATCTACATAAGAAACACTGGTCTAAATGATATAGATCTACATAAGAGAGATTGGTTTAAATGATGTAGATCTATATAAGAGACATTGAGAGGATTAAGAAACAGTGTGCATACTGAAAGTTAAGACACTTGTGCAACATCTGGTTATCTTTATTGTAGACGTTTTGCCATCCAGTGGCTTTATCAATACAGATTCTTGGACATAATTAGAAAACAGAAGAACTATATACAAAAGATGAGGTAATCAGTCCCTCAGCCTTGGAGGTGGTGTTCACAACACCGTGGTTGTAAAGATTCTGAAGCAAAGGTAAGGAGACTGGCGCTTATATAGGCGTCAGTGAAGAGGGACGTGTAGGACGAGGGCAATAGTCACTGGTAAGCGCCAGTCTCCTTACCTTTGCTTCAGAATCTCTACAACCATGGTGTTGTGAGCACCACCTCCAAGGCCAAGGCTGAGGGACTGATTACCTCATCTTTTGTATATAGTTCTTCTGTTTTCTAATTATGTCCAAGAATCTGTATTGATAAAGCCACTGGATGACGAAACGTCTACAATAAAGATAACCAGATGTTGCACAAGTGTCTTAACTTTCATCTTGTCGGTATTGTATACCTGTCTTTCACAGTGTGCATACTGAATAAAAGTAGAAGTCTGTAAGATTTACCTGTCATCTTGCACATTCATGAGACAGTAAGAGTTACCTGTCATCTTACTCGTTTATGAGAAAGTAAGATTTACCTGTCATCTTGCACGTTCATGAGACAGTAAGATTTACCTGTCATCTTACACGTTCATGAGACAGTAAGATTTACCTGTCATCTTACACGTTCATGAGACAGTAAGATTTACCTGTTATCTTACACATTCATGAGACAGTAAGATTTACCTGTCATCTTACACGTTCATGAGACAGTAAGATTTACCTGTCATCTTACACGTTCATGAGACAGTAAGATTTACCTGTCATCTTACACGTTCTTTAGACAGTAAGATTTACCTGTATCTTACACGTTCATGAGACAGTAAGATTTACCTGTCATCTTACACGTTCATGAGACAGTAAGATTTACCTGTCATCTTACACGTTCATGAGACAGTAAGATTTACCTGTCATCTTACACGTTCATGAGACAGTAAGATTTACCTGTCATCTTACACGTTCATGAGACAGTAAGATTTACCTGTCATCTTGCACGTTCATGAGACAGTAAGATTTACCTGCCATCTTACACGTTCATGAGACAGTAAGATTTACCTGCCATCTTACACGTTCATGAGAGCGAAAAAAAGATAGTCATCCTGCCAGAGTGTGCAACTTTTAACATCTTCCCATTCCCACTCATTATATAGGACTGTTGGTTCTCCCTGGATGGTTGCTATCTAACAGGTGTATAAACTAACCTGTGTCAGGTGTGTCAGCACTACGACAGTAGGAGAGCGGCGGGGCAGGTTGTGGGGGTCCAGGAGACTGTGACACAGAGATGGGGTTGTGGGGTGACCCCACAGTGGAGGTTGCCTGCTGTGGTGCCTGACTGCTGGGGTGGTGGTGCAGGTGGTGGTGATGCAGGTGGTGGTGGTGGTAACTACTGCGTTGATCAACGTTACTACCACCACCACCACCACCACTGATTCCTGTTCCATTGACAGGCTGTTGCTGCTGTTGCTGTTGCTGCTGCTGCTGTTGCTGTTGCTGTTGCTGCTGTTGATGATGTTGATGCTGCTGCTGTTGCTGCTCTGGGGGCATGTGTTGGTCACCAGACTTATCTTGAGCCGGATGAGAGGTGGATACTGGTATGGATGTAGAAGCGGATGTTCCACTGGCGGATGACTGACGTACTGGCAAGGGCGGTCCGGAGGATGATGGCGTCTACAAGGAAAAAACAATTGAGGACAAATTTACAAAACCCCATACAAAAATTAATACATTTGCAGCAACACCTCTCGACAAGCCATTCAAGGCAGGGAAGGTGTGACAAGCTGTAAAAGGGCCCCTTTGATCCGGGAAACTGCAGAACACCCCAATTATTGGGTCAAACCTAATCCCCACCAATTCCCCAAGTACATGGGGGGCTTAGGCATCAGGCCCCCATGGTTGGCCCATGCCCCGGTTGTGGTGGTGGGGGCCTGAAAACCAGGCTGTTACACTGGTGACATAAACAAAGTATGAACCCACCCTGACGGGTCACGTACGACCAGGGGTGTGGTTCTATGGTGAGTGGGAGTTACGTTTGGAGAGGGGAGTACAGTGTTGTACTAAAGGCCGGTGAGGAAGTTAGTTATAAGGTCATCCGTAATAAATCTAGTAATCTGGCGGGGACAACAATGTAAGGGTGCGTTAATTATTTTTTGTCTCATACCTGAAAAGAGATAAAAGTGTTTTCAAAATATTGCTAAAAATAAAGGAAAAAAGAAAATTTCATCATTTTCCAATTAAGCCAAACTTTTAACAAGTAAGAAATGTGTGTTTTTTAAATAATTCGTGTTTAACCCTCAGGGCCCACACCCGATTTAAAATTTTTCTTCGGTCAATAAGTGTCACCCTCCTCCCCCCCCCCAGAAAAAAAAAATCTAAAATGGTAAAGAAGTTTCTGCAAAGGAAATGCCCCCAAAATTAGGAATTATGCTGTGAAAAAGTCACTGTTTTCCGCCAATTCCGCACTGGTGATTTTTGTCCACTTTGAGGCCTGTTTGGCCATTCCATTTTTCCCAGTAACCAAATTTTTAGGTATTAAAATTCGCCTTCCTTTATAAATAACACAAGAAACTCCCCTTAAACCTTTTTAAAACTCCCCAATAAAGTGCACGAATTTGGTAATTTTCCCAAAATTTTAACAAAATTAAAAAAAGCCAATACAAAAACAAAAACCTAATAACAATGTAAACCCTTCCGCATTCCCCTTTGGGGTTTTGGTGTACAGTACGTCTTATGCGGGGGGTTTTTGAGTACTGTACTCAAAAATTTCTAGGGGCCCTAAAATCGGGGGGAAAGAAAAGCTGGTGGCCTTCATATGAAAAAATGGGTTTGTGGTCAGTGTGCCAGTCTAAAAAAAATCCTGCAGCACACAGTGCATAATGAGAAAAAAAAAACTTTGACCATTTCTTTTTTAATAAATCAGGACTTTTGCAGTGATTTTCGTATGGTATTTATTGTTGTATTTAGTTTTCTTGGTCTCATTTTTTAGAATGGGAAAAATTTTTCGAAATTTATGGGTTTTATGGGTTTTACAATGAAGGTCCTGAAATTGACTCAAAGTAGAGGGGAAAAGTTCGATTTTTTTCCAAATTCAAAAGTAAACAAAAACTGCCCCAAAACGTGCAATACACGCAACTGGTGAGTCTAAATTTTTTCAAAGTGCCCAATAAATTTTACCATTTTTTACATAAAGCGTATTGCATCTTATTTTTTTTTGAGAATAAAATTCAAAGTGGGAAAATAAAAGAATATAAGAGGGGCCTTGAGAGTCTAAAGTAAGGGAAATGTCATTTTAGTGCCAGAAAAGTCTTTCTTTTTATTCTGGACCCTTTTTGGGGAAAATTTGGCTCTTTTTAAATTTTTTGGGGAAATTGGGAAAAATTCTAAAATTTGACCACTGACTGGATATTTTTAATTTCATAAATGGGTGGGTTTTTGCACCCATTTGATAGAAAAATGGAGTTCTAGCGAAATTTCATGTTTTTTTTACGACTAGTAAGTGAAAAAGGCCCAAAATGGGGGCCCCAAGTGGGGAAAAACGCCGATGCGTAAACATCGCCCAAACCCCTAAATTTTCGAGAGCATAATTCCGTAAGTTTTTATAAATTTCAAAATTTTGGTTTTTTTATTCGGAAAAGTTCTCTACATTTCATAAAAGAAAATATTTTTTTTTTTTTTTTTAATTTGGCCGCCCTGAGAACGGTTTCGGGGAGGGCCTGTACCCAAAGGGTTAAGATAATATTTCCTTGTTCATTAGTTCATTAGAAAGGGAATACAGCCTCCCTCATTGCAACATACTCATTTTTCTGCTGGTGTTAGGAATGGAAAATTGTCATTAGTGGGGAGAGGCTGTACAGAAATTATTACACTTGCTCTCATTTTAAATTTTTTTTTCACACAGTCAGAACATTTTCTTTTTTTCTCAGTAATAAATATAACCAGATAAAATTGTTCAGGGTTTTTACAGCACCCCAAAATTGAAAGACTCATTAAAAAATCTTTAACCAGAGGGGGTTGTGGGGGCCAAACCCTGTCCTCTGGAATATCGTAAAAATTTTAAGTTTCCCCCAATTTGAGTCAATTTCAAGCTACTTTCCTAGTCCTGAAAGATATCTATTTCAGTTAATATGTCCCCATTCTATCAATGATAGCAAAGAAACAATCAATTTAAACCATAAAAACCTTTTCGTAGAAAACACTGCAAATTTTTGTTATTTTAAAACCTTAACTGTCCAAACGTCGTTACGTTCACGTGCATAGCGTTTCCGAATGTATTACTAGCTTTATATACATTTGAAAGCAGTAAAATAAAACGTAGATCACGTTCAGTGGTTAACGCAGGGAAAACGTAGATTAGTTTGGACATTTTAAGGTTAACAATGAACACAGTTTTGTTTTTCATCTTTCCCACTGTGGGGGCAGAATTTTTTATATGGTGGCACTACCACACAGACCTAGTCTCTCTTTTGGCCAAATTATCATCATAGTTTGGCGCTGCGTGACTGATGACATAATTACAGGGGTTGTTTTTCAAAAGATAACCCAGTATTGGTTGTTCAGTGGTTTTGTGCCCTAACATGTCAGTGGCTTTGTGCCTAACATGTCAGGGGCCCTTTGTGCCTAACATGTCAGTGGCTTTGTGCCTAACATGTCAGTGGCTTTGTGCCTAACATGTCAGTGGCTTTGTGCCTAACATGTCAGTGGCTTTGTGCCTAAACATGTCAGTGGCTTTGTGCCTAACATTTTTAGTGCTTTTTTGCCTAACATGTCAGTGGCTTTGTGCCTAACATGTCAGTGGCTTTGTGCCTAACATGTCAGTGGCTTTGTGCCTAACATGTCAGTGGCTTTGTGCCTAACATGTCAGTAGCTTTGTGCCTAACATGTCAGTGGCTTTGTGCTTAACATGTCAGTGGCTTTGTGCCTAACATGTTAGTGGCTTTGTGCCTAACATGTTAGTGGCTTTGTGCCTAACATGGCTTTGTGCCTAACATTATTTTATTACATATAAAGTATAGTATTTAGTTTCCTGCAGATAAAACAGCTGTATAAATATAAAGCCACAAAGCTGGTGCCAGATGCTCACGTTTTTCTTGTTTTGTTTTTTTTTCCATTTAGGTGGTTTTTATGTTCTGATATTTACAAATTATCCACAGGGAAGTGGAACAGAATTCTTCCTGTGTAAGCCATGCGTGTCGTAAGAGGCAACTAAAATGCCGGGAGCAAGGGGCTCGTAACCCCACCTGTATACATTACAAAATTTAAAAAGAGAAACTTTCGTTTTTCTTTTTGGGCCACCCTGCCTCGGTGAGATAATTATAATCATAGGGAGCGCTAAACCTGTAGGATTATACGGAACCTGTGGGGGGGGTGGAAAGTATTCAGGCTTAAATCAGGGAAATGGAGCACAGATCCAATTTCCTTGATCAAGATCCCCTCACCAGCATCAAGGAACCTCCCTTGAGGAGCCTCAGTGGGATACGGCCAGTTTGTTGAAAGAAAGAAGATTTACAATTATAGGTCGGGTTTTTTTAAGCCATTGATTGTTCTGACCAAATACGGGCCCCCCGGTTAACAAACTTTTTTCATTCATATATGTTCAGGGGGCCGTACTGACCGATTTTTTCCCATGGAATATTGTGAAGTAGATTAGTCCATTTCAGACCCCCAAACATACACGTACAAACGCACTTACATAAATACACTTACATAATTGGTCGCATTTGGAGGTGATCATTATGCGGGGGTCCACTGTATTAGGTACGGAAATAGTAATGAAAGTCACGTAGTACTTGCACGCTGACAGGTGAACATGTCCACCTGCATTCGTCACATACTATTGTCTAAAAATACATATGCACATAATTTATGTCTCAGCAATGCTTTTATAAGTCGTCAAGTGTATGATACTCCATGAAGCACAGTCATACAGTGTCACCCCCACACTGCTGACACATGCATCATGTGTCCTGTCATTGTTGGAGTCATCTTGTGTTGTGGGCACACACAACACACCTTTTCTGAAAATACTTCTTTTTTCTGGGTAGACAGTTGTATGAGGAAGTGACTGTTAGACTGCAATTGGTCAGGTACTTTACCCTCTGGTCGCAAGTGAGGGGCAGGTATGAGTGTGATGTGGTAGTTCTGTACAATCTGCTCGTTGACATTCAGGGTGAATTAGGCACACTGAGGTCGTTCCCCGGTATTTATCTGGTACATATTGTAGGTGTTGAGCATTGCAATGTCTACACAGTGGAAAAACAATTTTATGTACCTCTTGTAACTCCTGCCTGCCCGCCTGCCCACACACACACGATGAACCCTACTTTGCATGTTACACTTGTTGACTAGTTGCGTATTGTTCATATAGTCAACAACAGCAGCTGGCTTTACAAAGAGTTCATTGGTGTCCCTGTTCACTTTATACCATCCGGTTTCTGTGGATGGTTGACAGCAACATCACGTCCCATTTGTCATGCCACATCAGTGCCATGGTGCCATTGGCCTGAAATGCTTGCACTACACTGCACCATCAACACTATCTCCAGTGAACCTTGGTAAATGTTTTCTATTACATCTCGCTGTTCCACATATATCAGTATTGTTCACGTGGAGGAAATCAGCGAGCACAGGGCTTGTATACCAGTTGTCTGTGAACACTGTATGAATGACCCTTG